AACTGCCCTTTTTCGTCGGACAAACATTTTTGCCTGGATCTATTTTTTGATAGTAGTACTGCAACACTGGCACACAGATTTACTATCATATTACACTAGGCAGGCTCCGTCAGCAGCCCAGCTTCCCGCAGCAGGGTCAGCTTATGATCCTGTGATCTCTTCCTCATACACAAAATAATGTTACCACATGGAAACAATCCAGCCACACAAGCATGCAGTGTCAGGGAAGTGTGGCCAAAACAGGAGTCAAACCTGCAAGGAATGCCTATTACCAGCTGGCACTCTAGTGGCTGGGCATCACTGAGCTCACTTGGATTTCTGCCCTTCTTCAGGATGTTTACCTGCAGAGGTAAGTACTGTGCAGGTGCAAGAGGAAAACTGTGACTGTGCTAGGAGCAACAGAGATCCTTCCATAATTGCCAACAGCATATGCAAGGGTACTTTCAGTGTCGTCATCATCACCGTACCATCCATGAAATACACTTCCAACATTTTTTCTCTCTATCCATTGACATTTGAAATTAACATAATTATTCAGTTCCTTGTTTGTACAATACTGCCATTAATCTTATCATAACTCTGCAAATAGGATTCGTCAGCTAACCTGTGCTTTCTTTACTACAGCTTTAATAGCAGAGAGCCATCTATTAGTATAGATCTCACACAAAACTAGTATTCTGTGAGATTAATGAGTTTAAATACCCCACAAAAATATTAACAATCCAAATGCTACTCCCCACTAGACTAACCAAATTAGTTTACCCTTTGGGGTTCTAAATGACCCTAAATAAGATTAATTGAGCCCACTTAAAAACTATAAAAATACCGCTCTTTGACAAAGACCAAAAATAGTAATTACGTTTATTTGGACCAAGCAATATTTTCCAAACATAGGTGAACAAAGTTGGGCACCTAAATCAGTTAAATGATTTTCCACAGATACTGACCAAGTCCCAATATCACTTTTTCAGGCCACTTGTTTAAGCTTTGACGTAAAAGCTGTAATTAGTTAAAAAGAATTTGGGCTATGGTAGATTTAGCGACACACTTATGCCACCCCTATCATAACAGAGCACAAAAGGGATCTGGGGCATCTAACACATCAATTAGGTATACACCATAATCCTCTGATTGACATTTTGGTTGTCCTTCAGGCAGGCAAGAAGCAGCCATCTGTTGCCTGGCAGCAGCTGTGAATTGTCCTTGGCTTCCAGGCAAGAGGATTTTTTCCCTATTTGACATGACTAAAGAGAGAGATACAAGTAACCTGACAAAGTTGGCAACAGCCAGCAAGTCTGGACCAATTTTTCCCCATCTTTTTCCAGATGTTTTGATGCAGATGAGCGTTTTTGGTAAATTATGTATAATTTGCCTAAAAGCAGCAAGCATTTGAAAATGTACTGAAAAGCTGTCTGGTTTTATCGGAGCTTCTTTACGAAGCTCGACAGCCTCTCTTGTTACTGTATATTAGAACATCTTATACAAGGGCAAGGGATTCAAATTCTAATCCATCCCAGGTTGGTAATGACAGAGAGTTACCATGCAATACCTGTACAATGGGTTATATGACTGGCTCCATCCAGTGTATATACACCACAAAAATCACAAGTGGTCCATGTAAAGCATCAAATAAAGCTTCCAACAGCAGCAGAATTTCACTCTCTTTCTTCAAGGATAGGTTTATTGTTCAAAACCTAAACAATTCAACACAAATCTACACAGCTAAGCCAGGTCCTCTTACCAAACCCCTACAAAGGACATGTCTACATTTACCGTGGATCTACTCTGCAGCCATCGATCCACCAGGGGTTGATTTAGCAGATCGCTCTCCTGTCGACTCCAGTACTCCACCAGAAAGAGACGCATAAGGTAAGTCAACGGGACAGTTTCTCCCATTAACCCAGCGCAGTGTAGATACCGCAATAAGTCGACCTAAGCTACATCGACTCCAGCTACATTATTCATGTAGCTGGAGTTACGTAACTTAGGTTGACTTAACCCTGTAGTGTAGACCTGCCCTAAGTCTCTTCCTCATAAGGTCCTTATCCCTGCCCACACAGCAGGTACCTTCAGCCAGTTCTTCTGCCTACTTAGTATATGGACAGTCCCCTTCCAGGCCCTTTTGCCTGACCATAGGTCTGAGTCTGGGTCTCTTGCAGGTGCCTTCCTGCTCCCTGCAGGTCTCACTAACAAACTGAGCTGTTTGCTGGCTTTATCATCTGATGACCAGATGACCTACAGCAGGGATCAGCAACCTTTCAGAAATGGTGTGCCAAGTCTTCATTTATTCACTCTAATTTAAGGTTTTGTGTGCCGGTAATACATTTTAAGGTTTTTAGAAGGTCTCTCTCTATAAGTCTATATTATATAACTAAACTATTATTGTATGTAAAGTAAACAAGGTTTTTAAAATGTTTAAGAAGCTTCATTTAAAATTAAATTAAAATGCAGATCTTATCAGTTTAGTGCAGTGGTTCTTAACCTGGAGTGCACGCACCCCCTGGGGATGCGAGATGCCCTTTCTGGGGGTGCGAGACATGCACGATTTTTTTTAAGAGAGTAAATCATCTAAACACAAATTAAGCACAGGCACATAAGTACAACTACTTTGTTTCATCAAACCTATGTATTTATTAACATTATACATGTTTTAACAATTAAAAGCGGGCTGAGTGGGGCCAGCAGCCGGGACCCCAGCTGGCAGCAGCGTGCCAGTAAAAATCGGCTCGTGTGCCACCTTTGGCACGCGTGCCGCAGGTTGCCAATCCCTGACCTACAGTCTATCACCTATTCTTTAGCCTCAAACCCATTATCCATCATATGGGATAGTCCAAATTGTGACCAATTTGCTACAAGGCCAGCTCCCTTAAAGGGCCATCTCACTCTGTGAGGCAGTACCATTGTTGGTAACCTCCACAAGGAGATGAAGGGGTGTATGGGCCACGAAAACTAAAACTCTCCTTCTAATCATTATGGAGAAATAGTCCCCTCCAGGTGAGAGGCAGAATAGTAACGTTTGTGCAGCCTGTTCCAAAACGTTCTGTGAATAAATGGAAGGATTCATAAAAACAGTCTTATTGATTGCCCTAGAAACTGAGCATTTAACACTCAGGCAAAGTATCTCCATACACCACCTAAAAAGGGGTTGGAAGAAATTCCTCCATCAACTTCCCTCCCACCTCGTCAAATACCCAAGGTCTCCAACAGTGAAACCATATCACTGAAGCCCAGTTCTAATTCAGAACACTAATTCTATCTACGCAGGCACCAGCATAAGTTATATGCATAAATATATAGAGCTAAGCAGTCAAGTACTAATTTGATTTCAAAAATCTGTTTCTAGTCCAACAAAATCCAGCTGAGAGATTATTCAGTGGCCTAAAGCAGCTATATCAATGTTTCATGACAGAGGTACAGTGAACATATTCAAAACAAAAACTCCATCCACAAATCAAATCACAACACCTATGTAAAGCCAGACCACATACACACAAGGAGTTAAAAAAAAAATCAATTTGTTGGTGTAACCATAGCCTCAAACCCTAGTCACCTCTGCTTTGCAGTTAGTAAGAAAGACGGTATTGTGGTTTAGCCACAAGACCAGTCAGAGACCTGGTTTCTATTCCTATCTCTGACACTGTCTTCCTGTAAGTCATTAGGGAAGTCACTCTGATACCTCATCTATATAACTACTATAATAGTTTCACACCACCTCTATAGAAAGGAATAAAATAAACTCACTAATGTTTACTAAGTGCTGTAAATTCAAAGAATTGTATTATATAATAAAAACAAATTTTTGTAAAGTAGCCATTTGTACTTACAGAAAATATCTTGGGCCAAACTGATATTGCAAACTGGAATTTACATCAGCTCATTGTGTTTGTTGTGGTTTTTTGCCTTTTCCTTTATCTCTCAATGAAAAAACAGGGATAAAAAAACCCACTACTAAATAACTAGATTATCTCAAGAGGAATATTTTGAAAATTCCTCTCAGCATAAAGTATGGAATTGTCAATCATTTTGCTATTTCAACAACTAATCAAAATAGAAAAATTTCCCAAAGTTTAAGATATTTAATTAAATTAAACACTAGACAAGTTTCCAGTTAAATTTTAAGACACCAAAACATAGTAATCGGTATATTACAGGTCTGCACAGAGTTCTATTTTTTAAAGAAACCAAATATAAATTATACTTCACAAGACAGTAAGAAAAGAATCTTGTCTAAACTCTCTTATCATAATTTCTAAAACTGTAAAGGTTAAACCAAAGAATCCTACAGAGGCAGTCAAAAATCAGAAAGCACAAAATGAAGCGTCACTTCTCAGCAAGGAATGCTGTGATCTAAACCAGGCAAGTAAACAGCTGGCAGATTAGGCCATCTTCAAATTTCAAAAGTGCATTATGAACCAACACACATTAAAGATCAAGACCACTACATGGAATATAAGTGACGTAATATACCATATTGGAACAGCTGAATGTTTGACACTGGATTTATCAGTCATACTACTGGAGGTACAAAGTACTTTGTAAGAAGCAAGCAAAAATCATTTGTGAATCAAGCTAAAAATAAGGGATTCCTCTTTTCCCCTCAAGGCTAAAAATAAAAGTAAAGCTTCTTTAAAAAAAAATTCACAGTAATATATTTAGGTTTTATTTAATTAAGTTGTCACAGCAATGCCCCAAGTACAAACAACAGAAAATGGGCACAATTGGAAAAAGAAAGGATATAGTGTCAATATACAGACGTAAAATTGCTAAAGTGAAAGTGAATAGACAGCACCATTATCACTTTTAACTTTATTCTGAAACACGAAAAGCATTTTTAAAAAACACTAAAGAATTAGATCAGTAAAAAAATGCACGTAAAATGGCCAAAAAAAGGTATCTTGATACCAATGTAAATGCTATGTCATTTCATTTAATATATTTAAATAACAAATTAGCTGCAATGTGATGGTAGTAATAGATTGAGATTAACACAAAGCACTTACCTTAACAAAATTGTCAGGGAACATGCCCCTTTTTCCATTTAGCTCCCCTTCTAACCATCCTTCCTCTTCTAGTTTTTTCACATTTCTGATTATTTCTCCAACTCGAATTGTTAACTCATCATCATGTATGGCATCATAGTCATACTCCACGATATAGTCAACTGAGAGAAGGAAGAAAAGAAATAGTCAATGCTCAACTCAGACATGTGGAAATATGAAATGTCTTATTTTAATGCACTGCATTCAGTGATTTATACATAAGAGGGACCTCGTAATAAAGAGTTCTTTTGACCAAATTTTTTTCAAGTAAACAAGGGGCCAGTTTTTCAGAACCTCACTTCAAATATTGTACATGTGATTTTGTACACACTCATGTGAATGTTTAATTGCCTCCTATGCACACAGATTTTATTATGTGCCCGAAAATAACAGTGCATGTACAGTTCTATTTGCAAAATTGACACTTCTTTGAAAGTTTGGTTCAAGAAATGTTAATCACAGATTTGCACCAAAAACAAAACACATTCCATTAGGTTTAAAGTTTGCATAATGTGCATGGAGACAACAGCTTTAACTTGGACACAGAAAAGTTTAGTCATGAGAACCCTGGCAATATATTTGAATACATCTGTTGCACAAAAACAATGAGAACTGCATACAGCCAACTTGTATCTTGTTTGATAATAAAGAAGGTATTATTTTTTTTCCTAGAAGTTCTGTTTTATGTCTGATGATTCCATTAATCACTCATGTCCGTTAAGACAGCCTTTCCATTGCCAAGCAGAGTGTTTATAGCACTGTGATGGGTTGCCCCCCTGTAAGGTGACACCTGATGTACTGGGATACCACTGAGCCTGCCTATTCCACCTGCCTGGGCCCCCCTTTACCCTGTCTTGCTGAGCCAGTCTCTTAAGCCTCCTCTAGCACACACCCAGGCAGGGCCTCACCCAGCTCAGAAAGACACAGACACTGAGATCAACTCTGGGAAGACTCAGTTTAAGGGACTTGCCCCAGCACTCAGGTGCCCACCTCCCTTGGAGTGCAGACCCAAAGGTATATTGTCTTGCGCTGTATAGAAAAATCTGCATAGCGCAAGCTCATAAAAATTCACCCTCTCCCTCAACGTGAAGAGAGATATGCACAGCTTCTTGCCCCTCCCCCAACCCTGATATGGATTGCACAAATCGGATTATGTTATAAACAAGAAATAAGTTTATTAATTACAAAAGACAGATTTTAAGTGATTATAAGGGATAGCAAACAGAACAAAGCAGATCACTAAGCAAATAAAACAAAACATGCAAACTAAGCTTGATTCACTAAAGAAACCGGTTACAAAAATGTAATTTCTCACCCTAAATATTGAATTAGGCAGGATGCAGAATTTCTGTAGTCCTCTATTTACCATTATTAATCCCTTTAAACCATCAAGTCTTTAGCAGCCAATTCATCAAAGGAGCTAGTACAAAGGAGATGGACAGAGGTGAACTCCTCCATGTCATAACACTGACAGATAGCTCCTCAGCCAGCTACCCCACCACTCCTGGTGTAGTAGGCATGCCACAGAGGAGCTCTGCTACACCATGCCAATCCTTCACTGGAATAAGTTAGAGTCGCCTCCAGCCTGCTCTAACTCCTGCCGGGACCAAACTCGTGCAGAAAACCTGCTGTGGCTCCCTGACAGCTTCTCAGGATGATCAAGCTGTAGGTTGGAAGAATATCTGTGCTGAATTTTCAACAATCCCATCTTGTCAATTAAAATGCTCACAACCAACATACATCTGACACCACCTCCAAAAAAAGCTCAAGAAGATATGACTTGATGTTCCTGATATTTTGCTTCTGAGCACTGTTTTAATATTGTTCGATTTTTAACCCCTCTAGCCTTTCATACATCATATGGCAGCCAACAAAAAAAGCACAAACCCGGATTTTAAAAGAGTCCTTTGCATGGCTGCTTTAAAGGACTTTCAATTGTCCCTGCAATGATGATTTTAAATTACTTATTTTTGTACTTTCACAAAGCTCCTACTAAGCTATTTCGTAAATACTGCTGAAACATTTTGCTGTTCTAGGAAAGTGGAAATGAGTGTCGCCCATCAAAAATAAGATGAGTGTTTTGGCTCTTGACTATATCATATGCCAAAAAGGTTCTTGTGATTACTGTGATAAAGTCTTATCAAGCAAAAGTATTGTCAAGTTTATTCAATGTTAGGCCTAAAACTTCCGGAAGCCTCAGAGGTCAAGCACAGCAACCAGAGCAAGTGTAGCAAATTCGAACTAGGAAATATTGTAGACTTGTGGTCAGCTGCAAAAAGCAGGCTTTGCAAAATTAGATACAGACTTGTGGTCAAGGTGTAAAGCAACCAAGTACTTCTTTGGGCTGTTTTCAAATGTTTTGTGCCTGAAACATTAACCACAATAAGGACAACTGGCTGTATTCGGAAAATATGAGCTTGCACCTGTGCATAGATCATAGTTTCAAAATAACGACAACTACCACAGTAAACATTTGGCCTAACCTGATTTGTTGACCTGCTTCAAAACATGGCGGGTAGACGAGATAAGATGTGTGAAGCCTCAGGTGGGTTTGTGTGTGTGTGTCTTGGTCTAAGAAGTTGTTCTCTTTGATTGGTCAGACCCACACCCCCTGAACTGAGGAAACCTGAATCACACCCACTATCTGTACCCGGCCAGTGCAAAGAGTGGTCGACTAAAGGATAACGTATTTTCGGCAGGGTAAGGTTTTGAACTAAAAAAGTTTGGTTGCATGCAGTATAAAGTAACAGAGTAAAGAAGTCTGGGTTGCTCGAGCTAATTTGATCTCAAGTTGTGTTGGCACTACAGTATTACAAATGATAGTGTCAGGATAATTTGATCTCAAGTCATATCAATGCTGCAGTATTATAAATAGTAGTAAAATCTTAATAGAAGTATTAATCTTAATAGAAGTTATAAGTTGCTGATATAATAGTTTTACTTATGTTTGTGTTCACTGGTGGCGGGAACAGTACGTGCAATAAGTAGTAAATAAGTAACAGTAGATTTGCATGTACTTGTACCTGCCTTTAGTATCACCTGCCATTTATATTCAATGCTAATACTATGCGTTATAGTAGTAAGTAATTGATGCATAATATTACCTGTACTTGTGCTTGTTTGCAATATAACTTGCCACTTCTATTAATCCTTATTCAATGCTGGTCTCTATTTCTCCTTTTCTTATTCTGTCTGTGTTGCATTTATAGCCGTAAGTCATTAAAAACTTTTTTTGAGGAATAATTAGTAGTCTTAGTTTTCTCTTATACAGACGCTGCTCAACCTCATTACATCTGTGTTGGGTGGTGGGAAGTAGTGATCACCCGGGGCCCCATTGGGGTCTGACATGTGCCTCCTTCTTCCTTTATCTCCGCAGTTCTATAGATGAACAGTCCTTAATATATGTCTGAAATGTCCCACAACGGTATTTCATCTCAAGCATGTCCATTTTTTTAATATGAGCCCTGGAAAATTGAGTGGCATCCAGTATCATCTCACCAGCAGTATGAATTGCATTTAAGGCAAAAATTCAGATTCTGTAACATCATTTTACCATATCAAAGAATTGACGCTATAAGCACGAAATCAGCTTTTAATAGTCCTATTTTGAACTTGTATAGTGTCCGCCTACCATCCAAAGAGATAAATTTAACCTCGCTTCATCCCTTCAAAATCAACAAGTACATTCCAATCCTAAAGATGAGGGCACTGAGGCTCAGGAATATAAAGTGACTTACCTAGCATGAGACAGAAAATGTGTGTTAGAGCGAAAAAGAAAACCTACCTCCTTGAGTGTAAGTTCTGGGCTTCAATCACCCTAACTCAACAGCAGAAGCTGATTTGTTAAGGAAAATCCCCACCAAATTATAAAAAGATTCTAACCAACCTGTTTTAATGTGAATATTTTGTTTATACATTTGGTCACTAAAATGGGATTTTCACATTGGAGCAAAGTAACTCAAGCATTAACTTGTATGCAGTTTAGACTTTGAATTGTGAAATTTTTTTCATGAATGCTACACAGAAGCAATGCAAAAGATCGTTTTTAGAAAGGATCAGTAATCAGCTCTTATTATGACAGAGCCAATGTAACACCATCACTAATGTTACATTTTGTTTTGCACTTAAAAAAGGGAGTTCAATCTGATTGTTTTATAGGAAAAATAGTATCTCTGTCCAAATTTTCAGCCCATAAACACTGAACAAAGGTTTCAGGCATCTCTTTCATAAAAACCAAAAACTGAAGAAAAGCAAATATTTGCACACAATAAGAGTTTGATGGGTTCACGAGGATTATGTAATTGTTTTGTTAATTAAGGGAGAGAAAAAAGTAGCATTCTTCACCAAAAGTGAATCCTCTTATGCTACAGTTAGCCAATGGATAAAATTATTTGTGTCATTGGCTTCCACTCACCAACATGATATGCAGAAGCATTTTTTAACATATTAAGAGGGGAATACAAAACTGCCATTTGATATACACACATTAATATTCCTGGCCTTCACAATTAGGGATATGGATTTTGCTAAACCACAGGCTGTGTTCTGGGTCAGAGAAAGTGGTCTTTGATTAAATGAACCTTACCTGAAGGTTTTTGGAAACTAGGCCCTCTCTGAAACTATTCATCTGATTAAGGAGCTAGCTAGGTCCGGGCTGGAACTCACCACTGCGCTGCTGCTGCGGCTCTCAGGGGCTGGTCCTGCCACCAGGAGCTCCTGTTCTGACACCCGCAACCCACATTCTGGGATAGTGTGGCCTGCTAGGCCCTTCTCTGTTCCGTTATTCTGTGAACCGGATGCTTTAGAAATAGGTTTGTCATATTACAATCAACACTTATGTTCCAAGTGCACATATAGTTTCGATCAGTTTATGCTGAATGGGTGGGTGGCTGAAACGTTCTTTTAAATAAGGCATGTGGTTCAAGGCTATTGAGAGATTAAGCAGCAACGGGGTATTTAAATTTAGCAACCAGTGAGGGCCATATTGGTTTGATATATTTTACTACCCTATTCACTGTTGCTGCCCTGTAGCACAATCCAGATTAGCTGATATATATAACATTAAGAACATTTCAACTACTCTGAGCTGCATGTTACCAAGCAGTGTTTGTAACCAAAATGG